AGGTCCAGCTGTAAACTGTTTCTGGACATGTGAAATAATTTTACATAGATCTATCAAAATTTAAATGGACGGCAATGTGCTGTACTCAAGCTTAATTTAGATTTCATATTACTTTCATATACTTTCGAATAATGTCTTCGGACGGAATTTCAGTCACAGCGGCCAGTCTCAACAGAAATTCTACGCAGGACAGGCTTATAATGCCCCAGTGTAGTGCTCTCCGAGGCACAGGGTTGAGACACCGTCAACTTCCTGACTCCGGGCGGCTACTGAGGATTTCTTGACGGGAAAGCTCAATAACTGATTTTTTCGACCCGACCAGGGATTCGAACCCGGGACATCATGATCAGCAGTCGCATTTACAACCACTAGACCATGAGGCAATTGACATCATGTACACAAATCTATACAAATAAATAATATTGAAGTGTCTGATTGTAATGTAAAAATAACAGCTTTTCACTAAATGCATATGAAAATATGTATCAATAAAGCGATTTTTAAAATTTTTGTCTGGTTGTCTATTTGTTCCAGCTAATATCTGAAACAGCTAAACCGATTTTGACGGGACTTTCACTGGCAGATAGAAAAATAGGGTTCCATGCAAAAAAAAACCAAAGAAATCTAATCATAATAAATTCCACGCGGGCGAAGTCGCAGGGGGTAACTAGTAATGAATATAAATCAGTTAATACCAATTGGAAATCAGGCTGGTGTAGTAAAAATTGAGCTTGTTGAATCCGTTGTTGGAATCTCCATGTATTTTTTAATATACTTCGACACTCCCAACACAGTAATACAGCATACTCAGGTCCCTGTAACAACATGATTACAAGGGATCAATTAATAATTGCAACCGTCACCAATTACCATTACAGCCTGTAAAGGATGGCAACCACAGTTTTTTATTCTTTGGAGGTGTTATTAGAAAAATGCAGTTGCCTATCTCCTTTTTCAGTCTCCCGCTGTCGCTTCTTACACCCATAGGACTATAGGGGGTAGTGAATATTCTTACACCACCAGTGTGTACACACAGTGAATGATATCATCATCATCATTACAGCCCTTCACAAGTCCATTGCTTAACATACGCCTCCCCCAAGGAATGCCACAAAGCAAGGTCTTGAGCCACCTGCATCCATCGACTTCCTGCTTGTCTTACCAGGTCGTCACTCCATCTAGTGGGGGGACGCATTACATTTTGTCCGCCGGTACGAGGCCGATACTCGAGAACATTTTTTCCCCATCGGTTGTAGGTTCTTCGAGCTATATCGTGATATCATTCACCTAATTGTTAAATTTTATAAAACAATATTAACTTAAGACTGTATTACTTGTATTTACTTGTCGTCACAATGTCAACATGTTACATGAATAAACAGGACGCTAAAAAAGTAAGATGTGATAGCAGTTTGGGTTCCCAATTCATTATTTCATTCATTCCCAGATCATGTTGTGGAGGTGTGACAATACTATTCCCCATATCATTCCGCTGGCGTTGCAAGATGCAACAGATGGAAATAAACAGGGATATATAGGCAGCGGCATCTTTCTAATAAGAAATAGAGCAGTTCCCAACTCCAGGCAAGTTGGCAACTGCAGGCAATCTCCACATTGATTATGTAAAGCAGTGCATATGTTCAGCATTAGACTTAAGACATAATTATGCTGTAATGGTAACTCTTTTTCATATAGACATCACGGTTGTAGCACAAATGGGTCGGCTCAAACAGAGTAGGGCCACACTCTCACAGCACAATGCACACTGTAGAGGTAGGGTTCCGTAGTTGCCCATCACAATATGTGGGCTTCCTTGATAATGAACATGGGCTTAAATAGGAAGATCATAACTGAAGGACTTATTTTCAAATTGGTCTTATAGGAAGTGGTATTCAAAAAGGATTAAAAACTTTTCGATTTTGGTAATAATACCCGATCTATCCGATATATTGTCTTCTTCATAAAATGTTTATTTTTAACAGTTTACAATAAAATTACAAAGTTATTAATGCAGTTAGTTTTAGGTCATTTTCTATGGAGTTCAAGTGCATTTTATAAGTCTGTCGACTATTACTTGTTAACTTCTTACTTCTACTTAGCTGCAATAGTTTTCCTTTTAACTTCATTATATATATTACTATCGTGTATACTTTCACATTTCCAAAAACAGCGGTTTAGTTGGTAGAAGTGGAGGGGGGGGGGGGGGGGGGGGGACGCATGACTAATGAAAAATACCACTTTAAAGCTAAATATTTCGCAAACGGACCCCTGAATCGAAAAGATGTTGTTCATATGGAACTCAATGTTTTTAAAAGACCTATCCAACAATACCCCACATGATGGAATAGACGGGTAAAAAAAAATCATCCACCATTTTCTTGCATAGGAAGTACCCGAAATAAATATGTTTTTTAAGATTTTATTTCACAATTAAATTACAGATTTGTAGCACCTAGTCCCTGAGCAAAACCGCGAATGGCGGACGTATGGTGAAACTATAAGGGTTTCTTGTTGTGTAACTATGGGACCCTAAAAATTCAATGAGTGTTTTTTTTTTAAATTTGTAATTGCAATTGTATATTTTACGTAAGTATGAAATAATTTGTAAAATAAATGTTAACTACATATTTCCACCATATAATATTTTAGTACTAGAATAACAAAAATAAGATCTAGCCGTCATAAAATTTTGAAACTTCAAATGAAATTTTCATATTCTTTTGTGAAGTTAAGCCTGTTTCATTATTAACCCTAGATAACTAAACTCATTTTACAGTAACACTGTAACTAAACATTCGTCTAGTGGACTATTCATTATAAAACGTAAATATCACCGTAATAAATGAATAAAAATAGGTACTTGTTTCATGGCACAAAAGTTAGGGTAAGCAAGAACTAATTAAGAATAAAATATTAAGACAAACATTATTAAAATTAAACACAGTTATAACATATGTCTAAACTATGGGGGCCACAAATTGTGTTCCTGCATTTCATTCAACAGTATTTCACCCTTCTTCGGGATTTCGACGGATACAGGTATTATATTTTCCAAACATCCAACACAGAAGGAGTTTCTGTATTTGAAGATTCATCAAGAATATCCTGTTACACGTTTTTGATGTCACGCCTCAATGTCACCATTTGTAATTGTTGGCGTAGCCACGGCTCCATGAGGTGGTCCCCTATGTTCTTGATAAAATCTTGCCAATACAACAGTGTTTTCTTATTGCAGAACTGTTGATTGTTGTTGTGTTGAAATGCATAGCAACTACCTTTTGGTTTTTTTTTGGTTGGAGCACATATTAGAACACATTTTTAATCAACAGTGCCGGCTGCATCCTTTGTTCTATTACAAACGTGTATCACTTTAAAAATCATCAAAGTCTATAATTTGAGTTTACTGACTCTTATTGGGCCTTATGACGTCATGGATGATGTATGATGGCCGCATGATGAATGCATGCGGATATGCAGAATCACAATCTTTGCTAATATCTTGATGTATTCCCTCCTCCAAATTATTATCAACATCTGAGGCCAAGTTGGCCCATACCTCTCCATGTTTGTCGTTTGTTTCTGTATAGATCCTGACTCCTTAAATATATTTGAAAATAATTTATATAAGTCATGAGAATAATATAATTTATTGAGTAACAACTGAAATAGTTATATGTAATATAACAATAGTACACATGATGTCACCTATATACAAAAAAGTAATTAAAACATATTAAAGTGAACATAATTTATAACAAATATACAATTACCATTGCACTTCTGCACTGATAGACAAGAAAACTAAAAAGAATGTAATGTACATACCTCGACCAATAAGTTACGTAGCAACTAAACTTTCGTCAAGCAGACAACGGGATAGTCGTAGCCCACTTCCTAATTGAACTGTGACAGCAAGTGTGTCACACATTGCACTGTTCACTAAAATTAGGAAGGCAAAAAAAGAGCTATAGGCAGGGGACACGGGGAAGTTTGTAAACTTAACGCTAGCATGGATATGCGTTATCACTTGGACGAATGTTTAGTTATCTAGGGTTAAAGATGATTTGTTTTAAATTACTAAAGAATACTAGTAACACTATTAATATGACGAACACTCCTGTTACCACAACAAGAAAGACTAAAATTCTCATCCGAAATGGGGATTCGAACCCACAACTTTCAGAGTTTACGAGTTGCTTTGAGAGATTCATGATTAAAACTTTCAAATGATTGTCCACAGTATTCTTTTGATTTTTATTAAATACGATGAAAATTATAGCAACATATTGTTTTGATTTACAAAACGATTATCCTTACTTGAAGTTTAGAAAGCTGGCAAAATAAATCTAATAAATCACCCACAGGAGAGATATTTCGACCAGAACTCAAACAACCATGGCAAATTATTTTTGAAATATCTATTTCCAACTTAAAGATATTCATTTTAAATTATTAAAACATCTTTAAATTATATTACATTAATATTTTAGTAGTAACACCAAAAAATAACATTCACAAATTCACAAACAAAAAATGTATTGAATGCGGTTGAAATGTTTGTGAATGTTGATGTGTGTAAATCACAAACTACTAAATAATAGAAGTCACAGACCATAACAGACTAACTAGTAGATCACAGAACACTAATACCCTTAGGCGGGAAGAATGTCAACTTCAAACAAAGAAAATGGCACCCATAATGCACGCCATCTCTGTCGTGCCCCTAAAACTTTTTGCGCGGGAATTTTGACACGTGATTTTTTTTAGTTGTCGTCTTGGTTGTTTCGTTTCAAAAATGGCTTAAGAATGTAAAATACCATATAGATAGATATATCTTGTAGTTTTTCGTTTCAATGATATATATTGCTAAATTAAAACGAAAACAAAAGCACAAAGTTATTTGTAAATTATGGTACTTTACATTCATAAACCACTTTTGAAACGATTAGCAATCATTTTAATATAAAAAAGGAACTATTTTTCAAATAAAAGTGGTTTTTGAAATACATAATTTTTATTTACATTACATACTTGTCTACATTGGTACATAGTAAAACCGTTGGTACATTGATGGACGTAAGTGACGGAGTAATTAACTAATTTTTAACATGGCATATGTAACATGACATTTAAGCAAAATGGAAAGTAAAGGTACATTGGTTTTATATAAAAAAGATTAGACAATCTAATATAAACACTTTTTTCTAACAAGAAAACATAATTTTAGTTAAGATATTTAGTTAAGAGCTGTTGAGAACTGTTTACATGCATAAAGTTAAAAATTAGTTAATTACGTATATATCCATGTATCTTATTTATTCTGCAGGATATCAATTTTTCTTTTAAGAGCAGATGCAGAGTACTCTTCTGCAAATTGCCGATTTTTCAAAATACAAAATCTCTTCATACAAATGTGAAATACGCTATTAAATAAGTAATCTATATTCATATCTTTATGTTCTGGACATTCATCGAGAAACTCCCAATTTATTGAGTTTTTGAACAAAACTTTAATTGTCCCTTTTAATTTTTTTTTATATGCTTCTGCCTCTAAAAAATCATAAATCATCGTAGCACTACTTTCAATACAGTTAATGAGGTTTTTAGAGGCGTATTTAAGGGACTGTTTTAGATCACTATATTCTTTAAAGTCAATAAAAGTATGTGATCTCTCTTGTGTCTCAGATACAAAAATTTTTTTACAAATTTCACATTTGTTGAGATTATTTTTTACTATAAACCCACAGACATACGCACATGCTTGTATTTTGCCACTGCTTTCTTCCAAGCTACATTCAAATGTAGAATTTACACTTTCTTCTAACTCATCGGTTAAAATTGTGGCATAAGCAGTGTGTATGTCTGTGGGTGGAGACAATAAAGATTTAAAATTTGTCAATATAACTTGATTTTGGTCTTCTTCACAATTTCCTGTCCCAATAAAAGATAAGTTGCTAAGGACAGTCGTTTTAAGACCCGCAACAAATTGCCCAGCAGTGGGATTTGAATTGCAGCCGCAATTGGCCCGAATGCATCCAAAAAGATTTTCTAATGGGTCCTGCTGGAGCCTTCTTGTTTCCAAACTTTTTATTGATTTATGTTTAGAACTGAGATTTCTCCAAATTCGTTCTATTCCATTGATGGACCATATCCAACCTTCTTGGGATGGAGGAGCTCGTTTGCATCCCAAAAACGTCATTTCTTTAAAAAAATTCTTCATTAAAGTGAAATGTGTGAGATGTGGTGTATTATTTGCCATGTTTGTCGAATATGGTTTCCCCCTTCTTAGGTCTGGTGTGCATGCGTTGACACAATCAAACAGCTTGTCCATATTTGCAATAACATTAGCTGTAGTGACAGCCTCTGAAGAGAGTTCCCCTGTAAACAACACATAATTTAAGATCTTACTATTAGGATTAAAGAAACATGATTTAAAGTATGTTACAAGACAACTCAAAAATAATATCACATATCAGTATCACACAATAAACAATAATTTGTACTTGGGAGAGCCTAGTTCCTTTTTAAGTTAATAATTATTTTAATGGGTGGACATATGTTTAAATATTATACTTTAAATTATAAATTTAATTTACCTTGTGAAATTTTAGCATACATTCCTGCAGCAACTGAGTGGCTTAACACTTGTGCAGCTAGCTTCACATTCATCTTCTGCTTCGTATTTGTATTTAAATGTTCTTGTATTAAGCAAGGTTCAAACATAAAATTGGGATTGGTGTTATCTGTTTCATAAAACTCCTTTATATGGCTCCATTTAGCAACACCTGTAAAAAAAATTTGTGTAAATATCCAGTAAATTGGAAATATGTATAATATTATGATTGTAATAAAACAAAATATCTTACCAAATCCAATTTGATCATTTGATGTTATATTTGTTTGACATTTAATGTCATATATATTAGATGTTATATTTCTAAAGCATTTGAGCAAATTCGGAGTATCAAAAATGGTAACCACTTCTCGATTATTTAGCAGAATATATGGCTGTTCTACAGATGCTACCAAGATACTTAAAGCTCTCTTATTCACACCATCCATATCACACACTGTAGCTGAAATATTAATTCCAGCATCAAAACAATGTTGCAGGACCTAGAATGATAAAAGGGTAAATTAATATGGTAAAAAAGTACTACTACATATATTGACATAATAACAAATAAAAGACCATAATGCTCACCTCCTTAGAATAATAATAAGCAATTGGTTGTTTCAGCTTTTTACGGATTCCGCCAATCATGAACACGAGGGCATGTGTTGCCATTTGTGGTGACCTGCCCTGCAATGCATGGTCTTGATAACCCTCAATTATGTCCTCCTTTTTGTTGTAAAACAAATTCTTTTTTATTGACATCTCATCAAACATAAGGATATACTCATTGTCTGAGGGAGTCTGTTGCTTTATTGTTTTTTTTTTCAAAACATTAAAAATTTGGTCATTAATACCAACTTTCATATGAAACTTGCTTAATAACGCTTTTAATGAACTAGGTGTTGGCAGGCTAATCATCCTTCTTAATCATTTGGAACACCTAGGTGACCTTTTATACAGTCTTAGTGCTATTATTTTGGAGTCCATGTTCCATCTTCGACCTTTTGATTTTTTTTATAGTTTTGTAATTCTCCTTGCAAAAATAATGCAAAAGAGGGGGATATTTTACATTTTAATATTTCATTTACGGAATCATTTTTGCTCAATACTTTGAGAAATGCTTCATTCTTTAGATGCTTTACAGTTTTTTGAAGCCTGTTAATTTTTCTCAGATGATATTTCATTTTTATCAACATATCTTTATCCTTTTTGTTTTTCGTGGATGGATTTGCAGCAGCAACAGGGTTGATATTCTCAGTTACTTGAGGAATATCACTAGTTTTGTCAGGAATGGTTTTATAATTTACATTCTCACACAAGGGTTGTATAAATTTTGACGGACCCGCAACAGGCTCAAATACATTTGAAACAGTTATAGTCTTCTGAATATTTTCAGACAGTGGTTGTTTATTAGTTGATGGACCTGCAATATGTTGAATGACAGTCCTTTGTTCCAAATTAAGGTCAGCTAATGTGATCTGAAAATTAGAGATTATCAAATCATTATTTATATCATGTATCCCAGCATTGGTCAACCAATCTCTAAATTTCAAACAGCCTTATAAATTTATAAACATTAAATACAACTTGTTTTTTTAATGAATGTTGCTTTAACACCATTACCACCACCATCCTATTTTTAAGACACTATTTTAACAATTTTTTTTATTTGTAAATATATTCTGTAAGTAACTAAATTATAATCATGTCATTTAAACAACATTGACAGCTCGCGGAGCAGTGGCTAGCATTGAGTTGCGGCACTAAAGGTCACAGGTTCGAATGCTGCACAGAATAAGTATTTGTAAGGGGGTCAATTTAAAATTGGTTGCAGATAAAGTCGTCCCTGAGCAAAAATATTTTCTTCTCGGTGATATTAATTAAATTGTTATAATGTTATTGAATTTGTCAAATATGGGGCAAATTACTAAGCTTATTCTCAAGAAAAATGAATTTTATTATTGATTTATCACCACTTTTATCAAGTAACAGAGTGGTCATTCTTGGTAACATAGTTGTTTTCCATACAAAAAAATTCTGTCCCATATGCAGTGCATCATGCGAAAATCATAATATCTTTTTATCAATTCAATGTAATTGTTATGTTTGAAAGCTAGTGTAATAAAGCAATCATAACACATTTAAAAACATACTTCATCCATATTAAATAAATTAAAGCTTGTACGATTATTTTAAATTTTGTCCCAAGGTCTTCAAAATATTAGAGCTACATTCTGTTACTATAGTAAACCGGATAAATACCAAGAGATGGCGCTATCCATTCTTTGGCAATTGTTTCATCATAAATATCTACTGTTCTATCCGTACGGTTTGCGGCGGTTGAGGCGCGGGTACACGATTCATTTATCCGATGGCTGCGGTGTGAGGCTCGTGGTTTTATTCTGTGTGTACTCTGTTACCGGTGTTTTCGCATAAGTATTCAGATATTTGCGTATAGTTTTATATTATTGAAGTAGCTCTAGTGTAAGATATATCGAATGTGCTTTTCTTTGTACATAATAAACTTTCATTTCTAAAAACAATGTCACTAAAGTTAAATTTACCATTCTGTTACTGCACAACTATGTTACTAGCTACTGGTAACAGAGTTGTAGAGAGGTAACAGAGTTGTTATTACTAAGCTGTTACAAGCCATCGTTGGCGTCTGTGTATCCGTATCTCTGCTTCTATGTTAGTAGGAATCAATATTATATAATAGCTATCTAATAAATTACATCATTTGTTCTAGATAATACATAGTACTTCGCTATGGCTCTCACCGCTGCTGAAAAGCAGCGGCGCTATAAAGAAAAGTGCAAATAAAACCCTGAAGAGGTAGCGGAAACTAAGAAGAAGGATTTAGAGAGATATCATAAAAAGAAACGCTTAATAAAAGACATGACTCAACTCAGTATAGAAACTACAGATCTTGTATAGATGGATTGTCAGAAGAAAAAATAGCGCTACACGTAGATTTCAGCGAAAATTACAATTGCAAGTTCCATGAAGTGATACAATCACACCACTTTCGTGATACTCGTAACCAGGTATCCTTACATACTGGCGTATTGTATAAGCGAAGCTTGGAAAATCGAAACATAGAGGTGAAGTCTTTTTGTACAGTATCAGGTAACCTCTCTCACGGCCCTTTGGCAATCTGGAGTCACCTTCATCCTATACTTTCCTCAATTCAAGACCAATCCCCTAAGATAAAAGTGATAGACATATTTTCAGATGACCCGCTACTCAGTACCGCCAGAATCAAAACTTCTGCTTAATATGGACAAAACTTTTCTCAAAGTACAACCTCACCAAGCCTACATGGAATTTTTTCGAGTCGGGACACGGCAAAGGAGCAGCTGTTGGTGTTGGTGGCTTTCTAAAACGGACTGCTGACCAGCTTGTTGCTGTTGGGAAAGACATTCTGATAGCATCTTCGTTCTATCAGTCTATGAAAGATAGTAGTAGAGTTAAGGTCAATCTTGAACTGATTATGATATTGAAAGAATCGCGAATGAAATTCCAGCAGAAATTGTTCCTTTCTATGGTATAATGAAAGTACATCAAGTGTACTACTAGTGTATTACAGAAGAAGTGGGAGCACTGAAATATCGAGAGTTGAGCTGTTTCTGCTAGCTTGGTTTCTCCTCATGAATGAATCCAAAAAACTATTGTCCACTAAAGGATACAGTCGAAGAATCAAAGGAGTAATTCTACTAATCTAGCGGATATAAGTAATTTGATTGAACAGAAAAGGAAATCTTTTTACAATGTAATTTACAGTTCGAGTTCGGAATCAGATGATGATAATTCCTTTCCAAGTAAAATCAAAGAAGGAGTCTAGGTCTTAGTTAAAGTTTACAATTCTGAAAGTAAGTGTTTATCTAGGCAAAGCATTAAGCGAAGTAGACGATGATGGTGAAGTAAAAATTGTCTTTTTAAATTCTGTTGACGATACTAGAAAAACATACAAATTAGTTTAAAATGATATATCATAATATGAACAATATGAGAGTTTCATAAGAGTTGTTTCAGTACCTAAAAAGTAAATAAAGGCAAAAGGGTATATTACCAGTTCCATACTCCACTAGAGATATTTGAAAAATAAGTTATCAGCTTAGGTTTAATTTGATCTCAATAAGATTTTTTAGCTTTTTCCCCTTAAGTTTTATAATCTAGTTAAGTTTCTAAACTTCTTAAAACAATTCATAGCCAAAAATATTGTTTTTTGTGATAGTAGTTCATAAATTTGTTGCAAATAGTACAACTATGTTATTCTTCCTACAACTTTGTTACTTTTGTGTCCCTAAATATATAAGAGTAATGTCTCAAATTTTATGAAAAGCTGACACCTGACTCTATGCATTGTTTATTAATTATTTAATATTCTCATTTATACACAACATCATCATTATATTTTAATAATTTAATTCAATTTACATAGTTTATAGTGAAAATTTGATCATTAAAACAAAGGAAGTAACAGAGTATATTTAACTTCCATTACTGTTCCTACTTAAGAAGAACTATTGTGTAATTTTGCATGTTGAACATGAGAGTAAAGACTTAATTAATGTTCATAACAAAGAATGTTTCTAAAAATAATTGTTTGTTGTTTAAATATGAATAAATATATGATGGTAACAGAGTTGTAATTTTTTTTACCCTGCACTAGTAAATTACTTGAAAATCTAAAAATAGTGGCAAGACATCGCGCCCAACCACGATATTGCATTTAACAATGATATCTACATAGCATAAATACCTATACAACTAAGTTAAACAGAATTTTATTTTCTTTTGTTTTCGAAATTTACAGTCACATTTTCTGCCACCGATTTTAAATTGACCCAAGGCCTATAAATAATTGTGCCGGGGGTTGTTTGTCCTCATCCAATTTATGTTTGTAAACTGCCTCCACAAAGAGGAGAAAATCATAGTATGGATAAGGTTTTTTTTTAAAAATAAAAGATAACTTTTTTTTAAAGTTTATATCTTTTGTTTTTTTATGGTTGAGAAGTAATGGTAGGTTACGTCGCATACCCTTATAAATCACCACTCAATCTGCTACCACCGTTTGTTAACTAGATAATATTTTCACTGTAGTATGAGAAAAGCCACACAAAAGAAAAAAATGTAGATAGTAACAAAAGAAAGATTAACTAACCTTATCACATTCCTCATCAGGTACTGCAGATTTGACTAGCCTCTTTCCAAAATTATCAATGAATGATGATTTCTTAAAATGTTTAGTGCACAACATTAAATGCCTAGAATGAAGATTGTTTTGAAATTCTGGTGACCACCAAGATTCATGAGGAAAACAGTACTTCGCCCATAATTCACATTTGAAAAAATACAATTAGATAATAATATACTACTGAGGTGCTAAAAACTTGCTTGGAAGAAGAGTGCAATACAAGAAGATTGTTCCTTTCAAACAATGTGATTGTATTGTATACATATATAAATATTATTCCACAAGTTATTTCTATGTGTACCAATACATCTAGAACTTTTTATTATGTTATGATTTCTATGTGATAAACCTCATGCTGTTCTGCATAATTTCTCTAATTTTCAGATTTATTTGCACACGTTTTTAAATAGCTTAATATGTATCTTAAGTTTTATTAGCCGATGCGGCCCATAATAATTTTTATTTCTGCTACTTTATTAATTCAGTGGTTCAAATTTAAACATTTTAAAACTGTTTTAATCAGTAATCAAAAAGCTATTTAGCATACGTACCGTACGCTATTTGTTCTCCCAGGCTTAGGAAAACGATGCAAGGTGATGTTACGATCATGAGCAGGAGAACATCCACACTTGTAACATTTCCTTTCGTTTTCTTTCATGATGAAAGATAAAATTGAGTCTCTGTCTCTTTAGCACAATGCACAGCACTTGTTTTTGAGTCTCTTCTCACTGTAAACACTAAAACGGAGGAACGGGATGTTCAAGTCAACGTTAGTAATGTAAGAAATAAGTTTATATCGAAATATAAACTTAATTTGCAACACAAATAAACAAGAACGTAACAGCAAGCGCAACGGATCTGCCATTTGTAATTTTGTTTATTTGCCGTTGCCATAACTTGCCTTTTTATTATAGTATGCAGTTTCATATTTATACATTTTGTTACTTCAATAAAGACGTAATAAATATATGTTTAACGAAATATATTATATAATAAAGTATTATAATTATTAAATAAAAAAATGATTAAAATGATGTGTCATTTAAAATAATATTTCTTTCATGGCAATATAACATAACGTGCGAGGGAGATAGATATTATTTCATCTCGCTTCTTTAAAGCCCCCCAAGGTCATCTCCCGGTGCCAATCTGCTATTAGGAAGTTGACCGGCCCTGTAGTAGATTCTATACGAATCAGACGGACATCTCACAAACTAAACAACTAAACATACTCAACTTAGATTCTGCATCCTGATTGGTTGTAGCAAAATGATATATGACATTTCTTTTTCTTTTAATTTGTAGCAACTATACCAGGCAAAGGACGATTGCGGCACCAATCTAAACAGATCTCTACAGCACTTAAGTTTTTATATTACATAGCTTCATATTGACTTGGATAGTGCTGTGCCCCGCATCCTTACCTGAAACACAATCATTTACAGCCTTAATAAAAGCATTTTGCTCCATTTGTTCATATTCGAGATTTGTTCCATATTGGTAAAAATTGTATGTAACTACATAAAAATTAAAAAATGCATGTAGTTATTAAGCTTTGGCAGCTGACAACTGCTGATCAAAACTATTTTCCTGTAGAAATGAGTATGTATTGTCTGAAATCAAAAAATTATACCATCAAAAACATAACTTGTAAAAAAACCAAGTCTCGCAACTCAGTTCTTCTAACGTAAAAAATTGAGAGATCCATGTAATACCAAGTCGGTTAATTTATTCAGTCCCTACTTAAGGGTCCTTCTGTCTTAAGTTATTACGTAGTTAGCTAACCTAACAACATCTTATAGTGACCGCATCAATACTAAAAATCTTTTATATTTTCAATAAATAGATTGACTTGGCAATCGCATGAAAACACAATGTATCTCTCAAGTAATACATATTATATTAGCCGATTCATTGCGGCACCAATTTTCGACAACTTTTAGCTGTGGCGGCGAACAGATATTTCATGACACGCTTGGCGTGACTGGCGCCACAGACACGCCTATTGTGCCATCAGCCATGTGTAAAAGCAATGTTCTTTTTTATGGTTTTTTTACTTGTTTAGACCTAATTAAGTTTATTTGACATCTAACACCAGTTACAAACGGAAGGATACTTGTTTTTAGTAGGTATTTATGTGGTTTTCTATATGTTTTCTTTGAAATTGAGAGTAAGTGACTTTTTTTTGCAGAGATTTTGTTTTATAAAAAAAAACCATTTATATAAGTAGGTACAGCTAAATCACCCTGGAAAACCTTGGTCCTTATTAAATTAAATTTTCACCTATTATTAGGTAAAATTTGTAAATATAAAACAATCAAGATCCTCAATTTGCAAAAAAATAAGGTTCATGATTCATTGATATTATGTTAAATATTATTTAATGTTATACAAATCTAAAAGTAAAGTCGATCTGAAAACGTCTAATTAGTAAGAATAGCAAAACAAGTGTTTTCAAAAGGTAACAAACGCCGGCGCTATACGGCGGCGGATTGACAAAAGACTATTTATTAGCCAACTTTTTTTATGCATGAACGGTTTCAAACTGTTTCAAGCAAAAATAAACCTTATACCATATCACACGGGCACATGGTACTTCGTAGGTCTATTCGATCATATGATAGTAATAAGATGGCAGTTCAACCATTTTAAGCAAAATTAAACAATAAGACAAACGCATTGTTCTTTTTTTTAACAGGAGACTTGTTTTCCAGAAATTTATTTACAACTCGAGTTTGTGAGCGATCGCAATGAGTGCTATTATTTGTTAACTATTAGACCATTTCACATTATTTTCCAACAACATGATTGAACATGAACATGAACATGACCCACAAAGTAAAAAGAGTACCATGTACAAGTTAAAAAAAGATTGTCAACCCCTAAAAATTTCAAATTTTCAAAATATCCAGAAACGAACGAGGAACTACTTGCAAAATAATGAATATTTTGTTCTGGATAAATTTTCCAAAAAAGCAATTTGAGCGAGTTATAACGATTTTAAAAAAAGACACGACTCGCGTGTCATACGCCACATACAAAAGTAATCGATGGCACGCCTGGCGTGCCATCCGCACTGTACCGGTTAAACATAGGCATTTAGTGCGATTGCCAAGTCAATTTATTTATTTAAAACATAAAAAAATTAATATTGATATGGTCACTATAAGATGTTGTTAGGTTAGCTAACTACGTAATAACTTAAGACAGAAAGACCCTTAAGTAGGGACTGAATAAATTAACCGACTTGGTATTACATGAATCTCTCAACTTTTTACGGTAGAAGAACTGAGTTGCGAGACTTGGTTTTTTTACAAGTTATGTTTTTGATGGTATCTCATTTCTTTTTGTAGATAGTTATATATACATAACCTATCTACACCTATTATTCTATTATATTCTACATATATAGGTACACTGATTCATTCACTGCAAATGTAACTTTGTAATCCTATATAATTATATGGGATTACAAGTTATTTATACAGTTAATGTATCTCGAAAACTGAACTGAAATTGTAAAATATTTTAATTTTTTCTTGATTTATTTACTACACAATAATTTTATTCCAAATTTGAAGCTTCTACGTCTGCTAGAAGTGCCTTAGAGTTTTGATGATTCGTCAGTCAGTGAGTGACAAAATTAAGAAACTTTGACTAGTTATAATTCTTAAACTACTGGTTCAAATTTAATGAAATTTGAAATATACTGAGCTTATACAATTTCTAATTGGTTACTTAAAATTCAGGTTTCAAGTTTTATTCACTTTATTCACAACGAAGTTATAGGATTCTGAAAATGGCCTGAACTACTTCGAGGAAAGAATGGTACGGCCGTGCCGCTTTTTTACTCGACTTGGCGGTGGCACTGCCGTGCCCCCAGATTACTATTATAACTGTCTTATATATTTATTGATCTTTTTATTGTAACTATTATATTTTTATTTCCATAATTTAATAAAATTTCTTATTAATATAAACAATAAAATGCAATATTTAATAGAAGTAAGAGGGTTTTATGAAGTAACCACAATAACTATATATTAACTTTTTTAAAGTCATTATCATACTCATGTTTATTAAATCTAAGTGGTAGGACTTCTTTTGCTGTCTAAGACTGCTCTAACCTATTTCTGCTGCCAAATAGCAATGCATGCTGTGTTGAAGGGCTATTTCATCTTAGTCCCCAGTGATCAATGCAACACATCTGTAGCCTACTTTATTTGATGGTAGACGCAATGGATCATCAATTGCATTAGCCACTTATCACCATGTGAACTGTAAGTTCATTGATTACTTTAATTTTATAAAAAATATGTTGATTTGAAATAAGTCATTATGAACCGATGTATATGACATCCTACCTACTTAATATTAATTATAATAAATTTGCTAAAGCTACCAAATAAGATAAAAGTGGTGAAAATTTTAATGCTATAAGTTTAAAATAGTGTACAACTGCCACCTAGTGCACTATGGGTACACCCACTGATGACTTTTCACTTAACATGTCAATATTACATAAATGCAAAACCTACCTACCTTTTTAAAAATAATTAATTATTATTATTATTAAAAAAGTACGTAATTTTAATTTTGACAATAATTGCTAACCTTTTTCTTGGAAACTTCCTTCAGCTTGAAGGTCCTTGGGGATTGTGAAGTCCATAATCCTTACTTTGGATGTACACGGCTGCATTTCTGCAAAAACAATTCAACATAAATTTATAGATAATAGAATTAAGTATAGACGAGAATATATTATGTTCATTATATCCGTCATTTATAGAAAATAAAAATACTTTCTAATGGTTATTAGTTGCAAAGTGACAACTAAAAAAATTAATGGTTTTTTAAGCAAATTACCTGTGTTTATTGGCATCATGTGTGGGTATGATTATAACACTTCTGTTTTAAAATAGGTGTGGTCATAATGCCTTTTCATCGCATGTTAATGGTCATCAAGAGCATTCACATTTTCTAGTAAAAAAAGAACAGATTTTGTTAAATTTCAAAACTAAAACTAATGTTCATAGTACATACATAGCATAGTTTTATTTTGTATAGAAAAGCTATTAATTAAAATAATATCAACTTACAAATGCCCTCCGAACGGTTTAGTGGAATGCCAGTGCTGATCTTAGAATCCAGGAACAGCGTTGTATAACCTATCTTTAAAATATGTGATTTTTCCAGTTACAAAACGAGATTCAAAATGTTTATGACAGACTTGCAGGTGGGCAAGATCACTAATACTTTTCTTTTGTAACAAATCACAAGGAATCAATTCAAGCCACTTCTTGAGCATTTTCTCATTGGGGGGAAAGAACAATGGCAGACTTTCATACATAAAATTAGTTGAGAAGAAATGGTAGCGTCTATATACCAAAAAAATCTTAAAATGTTAAGCCTCAGTATTTTAATAACTCTTCTTCTTCTTCTTTCTTTTTTATGGCGGTTTTGATCATTCGCCAATGTCAGCGTGAAAGCGTTTATTGAGTAGAAGCTCAGTAGTTACAAATACTATGCCCATATACAAGAGAAGATTGTGATAGTACAAGTATCTTTTTTCCTTTAAACCAATTTTTTCCCCTTTTATCTTGTAGTACTAATGGTTATACTGTTGAATTACCTAGAACAAATGACAAACACGGTTGCTATAACTACATTAGTATGTTAGTATTGACAAACATTAAACTTTTATACCATTAGTGTTAATAAAATCACACAGAATATATACATAAGGAGTGTTTGTGTAGGTTAAAAGTGAATCAAAATTTATAGGACGAGGGATGTCAGGAGGGAGATAATCATAGAGTGAACAAGATAATTTAGGACAGTTAAAAAAAATATGGTCGGAGGTTCCCTCATCCAACCCACATTCGCAGAGGGAACTATCCCTAATCCTCAGTTTGGCCAAATGTACTGGTGTACAAGCGTGGCCAATTCTAAGTCTACAAATAGTTGATGTAGAATGTTTATTAGCTTTATTGAATTTGAAAAACCATGGTTTTGGAAGGATGGCACATTGTATAGCAGCATAGTGTTTACCTTTTATATTTTGAGTGGCTTTCCATAGTGTATTCCAATTATTATTTAACTTCTTCTTTGCAAGTAACACTATGTCTGAGGAGTAAGTTAAATTACATGGCAAACCATTTCGACTGGCATTTTTAGCCATCAGATCAGCTGTTTCATTGCCCTTGATGCCACTATGACCTGGAATCCAAGCTAAGGAAACCTGTATGCCCTTGAGATGACATCTATACAATGTGTGTTTAATTTTGAGGATCAAGGGTATCTTATATTTACTTTGGAATTGGTTTGACAAAATTGCTAACAAACAACTTTTGGAGTCGGTAAGAATAACTGACTTATTTAAGTTGTGTGCTTCTATATATATTAAAGCTTCATGAATTGCCGTGGCCTCGCCAGTAAAAGTGGAAGAAATAGAAGGGCATTTAAAATTAAGAATTATTTTGAATCTGGGAATCCAAACTGCTGCTCCAGTACAACTTTCATCTGACTTTTTGGAGGCATCAGTGTATATAATAAGCCAGCCTTTCCATAAATTATCTATGACTCTACTTACTTTACTATTTGCTATAGGGCAATCTTTCTCAATACCAAGGTCGAGGTGGATATTTGGTTGGAAAATGATTGCATCATATGGGATATCAAATATGGGGCAGGACTTGAATTGTGATACTGGGTATGGTAGGTGGAGTAATGTTACCAAACTGTTGGATAAGCAGGGAGATTCTTTATGAGACCAGTAATGTTTTGACGAAATATATTCCAAAAGGAGGTGTAGTTTAGAAATGAGAGGGTGGGAAGAGAGTTGGTAGATTTTAAAAAAGTATCGGTCCGAAAGATATTGCCTTCTTAGATAAAGGGGAGGGTCCACACATTCAACTTGGAGAGCATTTATTGGGGAAGATTTCATTGCCCCGATGATTATACGAAGGCTTTTGGATTGAATCCTGTCTAGGATCTTTAGGGAAGACTTATTGCACGGTTCCAAAACAAAACATCCATAATCTAAATGACTACGGATAAGGGCGTTGTACAGTATTTTTTGGGAGAATGGGTGGGAGCCCCACCAGACACCCGATAAAGCGCGAAGAATGTTTATATTTTTTTCACATTTTTTGGAGACATAGTTGATGTGATGAGAAAAGGCTAGTTTGGAGTCGAGAATAACTCCTAAAAATTTTACACTCTCCCTAATTGGGATAGGTTCATTATTATAGAGAATGTTGATTTCAGGGACTTGCCTATGGCGAGAGAAGATTACAACACTGCTTTTGGGAACAGACAAAGACAAACCATGATCAGTTAACCAATCCTGTAAATAAGACATTGATATATTCAAGCGAGAACATGCTGCAAGGAGGTTATCTAGGGAAATATATATAGCTATATCGTCTGCATATTGGAGGATGTTACAGAAGGAGTTAACAGAAAGTTCTAAATCATAAGTATAGATAGAATAGAGTAAAGGACTAAGTACTGAGCCTTGTGGGAGACCCTTCCATACAATTCTTGGCGGGAGTAGAGAATTTTGACTGTCAATATAAATGGATCTAGAAGAGAGAAAGTTAGAGACAAAATTTACTATCCTCACTGGAATACTCAGATTAAGCATTTTTTGCCTGAGCACAGGAAGAAGTACATTGTCATATGCAGACGAGATATCTAGGAAGACTCCAACAAGGTATTCATGTTTAGAGTAAGCTATACGAATATCAGTAACTAGAGTACTAATGCTATCCATGGTGCTTAAGCCCTTTCGGAATCCAAATTGGCTTTTTGCTAAAAGATTTTTGCTTTCAAGAAACCATTCTAAACGATTTTTTATTAGGTGTTCAAGGATTTTGGCCATGGTGCAAGAAAGAGCAATAGGGCGGTAGCTTGCGGGATCAGTGTAGGGCTTACCTGGTTTGTGAATAGGTAAGATAACTTGGGATTTCCACTCTTCAGGAGGAATACCGGACATGTAAATATAATTCAAAATAGAAAGAAGATGGGCTTTAGTAGATTCACTGCTATTAGTAATATAAGAATAAGGGATTCCATCGATTCCTGGTGAAGAGTCTTTAAGGACATTAAGAACAGAATATAACTCCTCATAAGAGAAAGGAGAGTCAAAACTGTGTTGATAGTGCAGGGACTGTGATTGGAATACTATACATTCATTGTAAGATGGTACTGAAGGAGGAGCAAGTTTACTAGCAAAATTTTCTAGCCAATAAGACTGATCATTAGAATTTGTGTTTTCAGGGGCCGAAACTGAACATCGGAATTTTTTTATATTTTTCCAGACCAGTGATGGATGAGTCCTAGGCGACAGTGACTCACAGAATTTAAGCCATCCAGCCTTTTTCTTTTCAGACAGTAATTTTAATGTTTCAGCAGCAGTTTTTTTATAAAAAATATAGTTATCAAAATTCATTGAGCGGGAATATCTTAGTTCAGCTTCCTTTCTCTTCTTGCATGCTACAGAACAATCTTGATCCCACCAAGGCGGTGAAGGAGCATTATTTTTATAAGGTTTTTTAATGGGAATTGTCTTATTTGCAGCAGATAAAATAGCATTTTTGAAAGTAGAATACACCTGAAGAACATTCTCTTTCTGAACCGTAGGGAGGGATGAAAGTTCTTCATCTAGAACTGTGGAATACAGATGCCAGTTTGCTTTGGATGTGTTATATTTTAACCTAGGTTTGAATGGAACATTGACTGTATAGGAGTTAGGAGGATTGATAACAATAGGAAAGTGATCACTGCCATGGGAAATGGGTAATATTCTCCAAGAAAGAAGGGATGACAGGGCAGGAGAACAGAGTGACAGATCTACTGCACTTTTAGGATTTTGGAGGGGGGAAACTCTACGTGTAGGTGAACCATCGTTAAGGAGGCAGAGATCTAAATCATCAATGATGTCTAAGAATGTAAAAGACCAGGGATCACAAAAATGGGAACCCCATAAAGTATGGTGCATATTAAAATCACCAAGAATTATCATAGGAGGAGGGATGGAGGATATAATCCTCGTAAGTTCCGATAAGATATTTAGGTTAGGTTCGGGAATGTAAATAGAAAGGAAAGAAATGTTATGAGCTCTAACTGCAACAGCATTAATTGAAGGACTATGAGAAGGAAGGGAAATTAATGTATAAGTAATTGATTTTGAGATAAGAATGAAAGAGCCAGCATGACCATCACTTCTATCATCCCTGAGACATGAATAGCCTGAGACCCTAAAATGGGAGCCAGGCTTTAGCCATGTCTCCTGGATGGCTAGGATAAGGGGATGGTATTTATTAATAAGATATGTTAGTTCGTTTTTCTTATTTTTAATGCTCCGGCAGTTCCACTGAAGTATTGGAGGGAAGGTTATTTGTTAAGGAAATGAGCTCAGTAAGTTTTTGGCGGAGGGCGAGTGGGAGATCCATGTCGCTGAAACGGGAAAGCATACTTATAAGCATGGAGACCATCAGTTCGCAGAGATTATCATTAGGGGAAATACTTCGCCCTATTATAGCACAACCATTAGTAGATGAAGAAGGAGGGGTATTTATTATTGCCTCATGGGCAGATTTATCATATCCATGACTAGATGCTGGATTTGGCGAAAGTCTTGGAGTGAATGTAGTCTTCCTGTAAGAATGAGATTGTGAGGGGACAACTGAAGGTAAAGGAGGGTTTGAAATAGGACAGGAAGTCTGATGCTCATATGAAGGAAGGGTTCTAGCAGTATCTGCATAGGATCTACGGACTTGAGGGAAACGAGCAGATGCTTCTAGATAGGAAATATTTTCCTGTGACATTGTGAGTTTAATAGATCGCTGCCTAGAGTGTTCAGGGCAGGAGGGATCTTTAGCTGTGTGAGATCCTGAACAAAAAAGGCAAGTGGGAGACTGTCTTGTGCATGATATACCCTCATGATTTTGAGCACACACAAAACAACGGGAAGATGATCTACACTGTGAGGTAACATGTCCAAAACGGCAACATTTGTGACATTGAATAAGTGGTAAAATGTAGGGCTCAACGGGCATTGAGTTGTAAAAACAATAAATATTAGAAGGGAGTTTCTGGCCGGAAAAAGTTAAAAGGACTGTTTGAGAGGGAATCCACACAGTGCTTTGGTTTTCATTAAGTGATTTTCTATTAAATCGGCGAGCTTTAATGATTGAGCCAAAACCAGCTGGGACCTCGATTGATGAAATGAGTTCCTCTAATGTCCATTCTACAGGGACCTGCCTCACTATTCCCATGCGAGTGATACTATAAGAAGGGATTACAGCATCATATTTAGCACCTGCAAGGGCTGGGTTCTCAATAAAGCAATTTGCATCTGCTGCACTTTTAAATTCAACTGAGATTCTATTGCGCCCTACTCGCTTAACACCGTCGCTAACAACATTTTTAATATTATTATGGTAGAGAAAATGACCAAACTTTATCGGTTTTAAAACTACTCCAGATGATAAATCATCTACTATCTTACTTACATGTACAATAAAGGGCGCACTGTCGTTATTAGAGTATTTATGTTTTTTTTCAATGTAGTCAGGATGAGTATAAGAGGTCTGAATAGATGGTACAGGTTGAGATGGATCTGTAATTAATCTTTTCTGTGGATGAACTGAGTTATTGGTTGCTTGCGATCTTTTACGATTCGACTGATCGATCTCGATAGGCATATTTTTCTTTTTGGTACCCGCATGGGAGTCACATGTAACCCCGTCGGGATCGGGAGGATCTTCCTCCATTTTATTTTAACTACTTACATATATATACAACAACACAATTACTAAATACTTACGGATTTATAACTACTAAAACCAACACCACCAGAAATAGTAAACAAAAAAGTAAATCAACAGCTCTCAGAAGTACGAAATAGCCTAAAACAGAACGACACTTGTACACCTCACACCTTGACAACCAATCCTCCTAATCCGAAATCTCTTTTAATAACTCTGTCAAAGAATTTTGTACTGAGAAGGCGTCAAAAAACAGATATTTACATTTGAACTTTTTAATTTATGTCCTATGTCACTTGGAAAAAGTCATGTTTTTTTTTTTTTTTTTTTTTTTTTTTTTTTTATAGAATAAGGGTGACAAACGAGCACACAGTCCACCTGATGGTAAGTGGTTGCTGTGGCCCATAGACATCTACATCTATCTTCGATTACGAATCAAAATGCAGATGCGTTGTCACCCATGAGGACTAAGATGGAATGCCTCGTTTCCAGTAAAAAGGGTCGCCGGTTCTCTACACTCACCATACGAAACACAACAGCGTCAAGCTGCTATTTTACGCTGGTATTCTGTGAGAGCGTGGTCCTTCCCCGGTCGAGCCGACCCATTCGTGCTACAACTATAATATAGCTGCAACATGGCTCTACCACGTATAAAATTTTGTAATACGTAATACACGTATAATTGTAATTTCCTGTGGTTGTTTGATGTTAGTGAGAGTTTTAGATTATTGTATCTCTATTATATACTTGCATACTATAAATGTATATTTCTGGCATGGCTCCAGGTCTTTTGTATCATAGTGACATTCTCAGAAGGGCTAGAACCCAGAGCCGTAAAGCCAGTAAAAAAATCAGTGACATTTTATTTTAGCTAGTGTTGGCATAACATTAAAAGGAATTGTTACATAGTACTATGATTGAGATAATGTATTATTGTAGGAAATTCTTTGTAAGAGACTTATTCTCAGCCATATCACTTTTATTTTTATTATTACTGATAGTAAAGTTATTACTAATAATAACTTAATATAAAAATATTTTGTGTGTTGTGTTGGTAGTCTTACAAAGTGTATACGAATATACGAAAATAGAATAAATATACTAAATGGCAACATTTGAATAGAGTAAAATGATTTAAGTGGAGTTTTGGCGGGAAATTGACCGGCGGCGGTTTGCTGCTCCTGTATTATTGTTTAAATAATGGTTTGAAGTGGACTTTGATATGTAAGAGTGTTGCGATTTTGTGTATTAAGTGTCTACGCATGTGAACTATTAGTGGAAACAGTGAAACAAGTGCTCTGATGGTGATGGATTCTCAAGATAAGCTGTTTGTTTGCATAGGCACCTTTAGATACCATCGCCAACTATCAGCTGTCTGCTGGATCAAGTTGCCGCCAAAATCTCCCAAGAACTGCACAATGTGACGAATCAACATATTGTGTAGCAGTATACTAAGAAGGAGTGGGGAAATTACAATAAACCGAATAAAAATACTTAAGACTTGGCCTAAAGGTCTAGATACCAGGCCATAAACTCCAAAAAAAAAGGATTAAGTCATTTGATATTCCCAAACATGTTTGTTTTTTTCTGTGGCTTTAATTAAAATACATTTTTATTTGAAAAATCATAGAAAAATAATAAAACTCATTTTATATATAACTTATTTCTAGACGCTATAATTTTTGTCAACTATTTTTTGCCATTGCTCAGCGTCCTGTCGCGAACTTGTACAACCTGGTACACAACACTTATAAATAATTACCGAGAGATATAAAATACAAGTAAATGCAAAGAAAAATGCAAACTAAGGGCGGAAATAAATTAACGCAACCAAACAGATTTTTTTAATCAGTAAATCAGTAATGTCACACAGTGACACTATGATTACGGACAAAAAAGCAATATGGCTGCCACTGACTAATCAAAGATAAATAAATATCTAGAGATTAATTAGTGGATTCTACCCGAAATGGAGAAAATCAATCGAGCTGCGACCGATCTCCTAGTTAGTCTGTACTTAGAAGATTCGTGTAGAATCTACTAGTTAATCTGTGCTTAGAAGGGATTTCAAAGGGGCGAGGGGGGGGGGTGTTAACTGTCATATATCATTTTGCTATGACATTTCCAATGTCCAATATTTTCTCTATGAAGATTACTGCTCGTGATAGAAGTGTAAATGCTGCTCACTGTGGGATTCAGGGCAACGATGTTGCTGATCGGATAGCTAAGGAAGCAGCTAAATCTGGATTACTACCCAAACACAATATTTACTCATATGACCTCCTGTCGAAGGCTAACTTAAGTTTACACTCCTCATGGCAAACCATTTGGCATCAGTCAAAACTTATAAAATGTAAAAATTATGCTAATGTCCAAAATAATATCACCCTAAAACCTTGGTTCTTTAAAACCCGTCACTTTAGTAAAGTGATTACCTCAACTGTTTGCCGTCTCCGATTCGGTCACACCTGCACACCTGTACACCTAGCTAAATTAAGGATTAGGGATACGTCAATCTGTGAATGTGGGTTAGGCGAAGGAACAGTTAACCACCTGTTTTTTGAGTGCCCCAAGGTCTCCTTCTCCTTTTATGATATACTCCCTAACTACATCCCTCGTCCTACTAATTTCTCATACTTACTGTCCCTTGTGTTTACTCCCTTTGTAAATATTGAGTGTGATTATATTGGAACTAATAAAATTAAGTTGTAAGATTACTAACATGGTGATGGTTATAAACTTGTGGCGTCTTTTGTTGTAGATTGTGAAGACCTACACAAACAATAATAACTTGTAACTATTGTAAACACTCTCTTGTCACTCCCATGACTGACTTGACATTGGCAGAATTCTAAAAAGAGGGGCCATAAAACTAAGAAAGAAGAAGAAGAAGAAGAAGTGTAAATGTCTTTTTTTATAAAACTGGCTTTACGGCCCTGGGTCTGAGTTCTAGCTCTTCCGAGTCTGAGTAAATGTCCTTTTTTTAAATAACTGGCTTTACGGCTCTGGGACCTAGCCCTTCTGAGCCTGAAGTTACAATAAATTATAATTTCTTTCATAGTACGCTGCTTCACAATATGTTGATGCGCCACATTGCACTTTAAACCTTGGAGCATAGAAAAGAGAGGAGCTGCCCAGAGCGTCTATATGTTTTATTGGTTATACAAATATGGTTATATTCGAGATTGAACTGTCAATTTGCTGCCTATCTCTTTTTCACATAGATATAAGAAAAATAGAGGATATGAAATGTGGTCACGTGATCTGAAGTCGAGTGTTTCTCAAATATGGCGATGACTCCACCCACAAGAAATAGTGTTGTTTTGTCGATATTTTCAGTATCGATGCTATATAAATTGTGACTTGTTGTCTATCTCATAGGTATATAATAAATAAACAAATATTAGATCACTACACTATTATGCATGGCTAGGGGCAAGCCTAGTCATTAGCTTGCCATATTGCCCTGGAACCGGGCGACCCCGGAATTAGACTAGCCTTACCCTGGCATGCGGAGCTCTGCTGGGGGGACATAACTTTCCCTCACTATTCGTGGGAACGCAATGGACAATAATAAAAATAATTTAAGTAACTAAAACGGCGGCAATGTGGTTCGCCACCCATCACGTCTCGTTTCTCGCGGGGGTGAATAGCGGCCCACGGAGAGCCGCTTCGCTACGTTGAATGTAAGAGGAGGAATAGATGGTAAGGTAGATGAAGTATGTCAGATGATGGATGAACGATGCATAGATATTCTGTGCGTGAACGAAACCAAGAGGAAATGATGTGACACCACGGTTCATGGTTCCTACGCGGCATACTGGTCGGGAGTCCCCCAAACCAGCTGAGGCTGTCAGGAGTTGGTGTGATTCTTTCATCTTGAATAGTTGAATGTGTGATGGAGCATGAATGTGTAAGCCCAAGACTCCTCTGGATTAGGTTAAAAGTCGGACTCACTCGCTTGTTTATCCTTGGGGTCTATGCACCGACGGATCTGCACGGAGGTGGGTCATTAAAATCCCAACAAGAGAGAGAGCAATTTTGGGATAGCATGAGAGAGGTTTTGAATAAATGCGGAGAAAATGAACGGATCGTGATGTTAGGGGACTTTATTGGGTGGGTTGGAGTAAAACGTGATAGGTATGAAGGAGTTCTGGGTAAGTTTGGGGACGAGAGTCTAAAATTCAATTTTTTTTTATGGAATTACTATGGAGTTAGAGGCAAATAATTCTTTAGCTTTCCTAGATGTGTTAGTCATTCGAAATCCTAATAACACCGTAGGTCACACTGTGTATAGAAAAAAGACCCATACAAACCGATATTTAAACGGTGAATCCCACACACACCCTTCACAGTTAGCTACCGTGGGCAAATATTTGTTACAGAGAGCACGAGGGATCTGTAACAGCAAACACCTGGCCGCCGAGCTTCAGCACGTCAAGCAGGTTCTGCACGACAACAAGCTTCGGGTTCCGCGCCTACGTCACAGTGACCGAGCGAAGCCGGCTACAGTCAAGCGTGTGCCTGCTGTACTACCATATGTCAGAGGTGTCACAGACAAGATTGGCTACATCTTGAAGCGAGCTTCTATTAGAACATTCTGCAAGCCGCTGAAGAAGATTAGTTAGTTCTTACCATCCGTAAAGTGCAATATTCCACTACAAGATAAAGGAGTGTACAAGCTTGATTAAGAATGTGGTCTCTCATATATAGGGCAAACAAAAATAACGTTCCGGGAAGTCTGCAGTTTGTGATCATATCCTAGACGCCCCCGCCATTACATTAGATTTGATAAACCACAAATTCTCGCGACAGAACATCGATTTTTTTTTATAGGAGAGGGGGCAAACGAGCATGCGGCTCACCTGATGGTAAGTGACTACCGCCGCCCATGAACAACCGCAACACCAGGGGAATTGCAGATGCGTTGCCGGCCTTTTAAATAGGAGTAGGCTCTTTTCTTGAAGGTCCCTAAGTCGTATCGGTCCGGAAAAATCGCTGATGGTAATCGATTCCACAAGGAAGTCGTGCGAGGAAGAAAACATCTTCTAAATCGCACAGTGGTGGACCGCCAATCATCTAGATGGAGTGGATGGTACCGGGAGTTCTGCCGCGATGTGCGTTCGTGAAATCTGGCAGTTAGGATTAATCCGAACAATTCCTCAGAGCACTCCCCGTGGTAAATGCGAAAGAAAATGCAAAGAGATGCAACATCTCTTCGCAGCGCCAATGAGTCGAGCCGATCGGAAAGGATTCGAGCCGCTCTGCGCTGGATGTGGTCAAGTGG